GTAATCTGTATCTCTCATACTTTTGCAATATATACCTTTTCAAAAGAAGCTGCTTACATGTCACTATACGCTACTGTTTGCCTACTGTCTCTTGAACAAAAACTCTTTTGAGTCTGTTGTAGGCTGAAATGAGCATATATGACATCTGTAGCCTGGAGATGGTCTAAAATAGTGGATGGATCATGGAAGGATGGATCCAGAGTAGAAAAGGCAAAATTCTAGCAGTTAAGAAAACTCTACTTGACAGACTGGAAAGGGTCTCTGAAATGACAGCTTATTCAAGGACTGTAATGAAAGGTTTTTAAAAAAAAAGTAATTTGTACAAATGTACACTTTATATAGACAGCATGAACTTGAGCAGTGGTGTGAGGAACTTCTGCTGCTACTAATTTGAATACTGATTTTGGAAGAAATGAATACTTATTGGATGAATCATATAGTTTGGAAAGATATAGGAAAGCTTTAAAATAGGAAGCATCCTTCCTCAGATATCAGAACTGAAAGCTTGTCTAGGACCTAAGGAAGGGTACTTTATCTTCAAAAGCATGTCTGTATTCCTCCCAACTATACAGTTGGTCCAATAAAAGATCACCCGCAAAATTCTTTACCTCTTGCATTTTCTTGTAGAAGAATTTATCACTTTATAACAGACAAGGTTCCTTGGGTGAATTTGATATCTTTTATTAGACCAACCCAAATGGTTGGAGAATAGTTATTAAGCAAGCTTTCAAGTTCAAAACCCTTCGTCAGGCTAAGGAAGTTTCAGCAGTTGGTGTGTGCAATTCCTGGATGGAATGAAAAGTAAGGAAGCCAGGGGCTGGGCTGGGGAATCAGTTGCTTGCTTAATAACTATTCTCCAACCATTTGGGTTGGTCTAATAAAAGATATCAAATTCACCCAAGGAACCTTGTCTGCCTATGTCCTTAGACCAACACGGCTACAACCTACATCACTTTATAACAAAAAGTTGAATGGTAAGATTTTCAGTTTTAGATTACCCTACAGACTGCTATATATTATCTCAAAGTATGATAAATCATTGTAAAATACAGCTAATTTATGTATAGATGTACCATGTAATTGTTAAATTCAACAAAGACCCTTATCTAAATGAAATAAAATACTGCTATGAAAAAAACACTTCGTTTGAACTAGTTTGTTGAGGAGAAGCCACATTCTGTCCTCACAAATGACTGTGTTACTACATGAAAATGTTACTACATTTTTAATCGATGAAAGTGTCATAGACTTACAGGATCTATTGGATCTCCAATGGCCAATTCTGCTATGGACTCACAAATACAGCTAATTGCCTTTAATAAGAACTATGCCACACACATTTGGCTGGTGATGAAATCTTGCTTCATTGCTTCAGGGCTAGGGACAGACATTCAAAAAGCCCGAGCCTAAATTGATTCAATCTTTGCAGGTTAGACTAACCTGACTAGGCTAAACTGATTTGTAACTGAACAGACATCCCAGAAATGTAGGCACATGCCTGCAGTGACTCAGGCTATAAGCCAAGGGGCGCTAGAGCAGCCCTCCCTTCCCTTGTACGGTACTGAACTGAGGGAGGCATGGCCAGGCTCTGTAAGGATGCTCTGATTAGCCCAGAAGGGAATTGATAACAGTGTTTATCACCCCTAACTCAGTGTTTAATATCCTGCTAAGAAAACAACAGAGGGACATTACCAGCTACCTGTTGATTCTGCCTGTTGATACAGCACAGACTGTAGCCAGCATGTGGTCCGCTAGCTAATACACAGACACCTCTCTACAAGGCAGAGGGGATGGGGGAATTTCTGCTTAGCAAGGAGTGGTGAGAGGGAGGGAGGTGAGCAGCCTGCAGTCCCTGCCGGAGCTGCAGCCAGGGAGCAGAGGGAAGGGGCCAACCCTGCTGTGGAGCAGAGAGCCCCGGCCAGCCCAGAGAGCATGCAGGGATGCTAGGGGTGTATTGTTTAACTTAAGTCAGCACAGACATTGCATAAACTGGTTTGAGCCAAATCAGATAGTTCTGATACTACATTCAATCAGATTAAACTCAAACCAGTTTCAGCCATTTTCAAACTGGTTTACATGAATTGAATCTTTGTTCTGTTACAAATTTAAACCAGTTTCTGATCGCTCAAACCAGTTTGTGTGTAATGTCTGTCCCTAGCCTAGAAGAAATCATCTGATATTCCCTTCTCTCCACCTGCAAAACAAATCAAAACATCTGCCAATAGAATTCTTCCTTAGGCAATCATACACACTGCGGTTCCTCCCTGCTATAGCTACACATGCACATATGAACATGCACATGATTTTTTGTTTTATTATCTCTGTATCAATGTTCAATGAAACCAGTCTCTTTATTTTCTGTTCACTTCCTTGAATAAAAACTGTTTTAAGATATCTGTCCTAAAATAATAAACCTGATTCAATATTAATAAAATTGAATATTTATAATGTTCATAACTCTAAAGTGAAATCCTTGATAAATCTAAGACAGAACCAACTCAGCGCACATCCATAAAAATAATATCTTTCTTTTTAAGAATAAAGCACATCTTTTAGAACAAAATAATATCTTTTTTTTTTTTTTTTAGAACAAAAGCTTAAGCCATACCTTGTCCTATATTAGGAACACTGATCATGGAGTAGGCACAATTCACAATAAGTAAACCCTGTCTCCTGTGGAGTTCAATAAACCATGTATTCCATATACTGATTTTAAAACACCTAAAGACCTAAAATCTTATTTCTTTTATTGACTGCACATAGTGATGTTGTTGTTTATTACATCAATTAGTTATCATAATGGAATTAATCACATTTAGTAATCAAAATTAGTTGGAAAATATGTTTTATCTAGAAGCTAATAAAATCAGAGATCCATAAAAATACTAAGAGTCAACTTAGGGTGCTTACACAAGTTACAATACCTCAGCTGGGGTAGCTGGGGGGGTCGCAAGGAAGAAGGGCTCCTTTTCCCCACCCCCTGCCTGAGCCTCTTGACAAGCTGCTGGCTTGGCTTGGCTTGGCTTGGCTTGGCCTGCCAGGAGCTGGAAGGGGCCTGCAAGGTGAGGGGGCTCCGTTCCACCCCATTCCCCCGCTCCAGGTCTGGTCAGGCCAAGCCCAGCTAGCAGCTGTCTGCTAATCCTTACCCCCCCTCTCTGATAGCCCTGGAGCTGGTGGGGACAGGGCTGGGGAGAAGGGTAGTTCACTTGGAGCACCCCTGCCTGCTGGCCAGAGCTGATGCAGACAGGCTCGAGCAGCAAACGTCTGTTGGTTTGAGGGGCAGAGGCAGGTGGGGAAATTAACTCATGGCACTTTCTGTAAAGCCCCTTCATATCTTAGGCACGCTTAGACTCTGTACCACTGATTCACCACTAGGGTGCCATGGCACCCTGGGATGCTTTGAAATCCTTTCAAGAGTGCTGTGGATGCTGCACAGTTTTAGCACTGTTAGCACTGTTGTAAAACATGATTCACAAGATAAACCCAGAGTTTTCACATAGAAATCCATAGAGTTAAAAACACTTTGACCTATTGTGATCTTTAGGACTTTTTCCAACAAAATAATTGCTCTATTATTTTTCTGCAGTCAAAAAAAGGAGTGAAAACTAAGAACTGGCATTTTCCAAGGAGTGCCTCGAGTCTAAAGAACCACCGTTCTTTACCAATAAAAGCTAGTGTAGAGGCAGGGAGATCCCCAGTGGTGGACACTTTATCAGTTAAGTTCTGTCATCAAGAAGGGGTCAATACACATTGGGGTTCCTTGGGATAATTTTGGAATTCACAACCACCAGCACTGTCACAAAAATCAAGCAAGTGTTGGACAAAGTAGCAAATAATTCAGAATGTGGACTCAAACATCATTTGCCAGAAATCTTCTTATGGAGCCAGCCTACAACTTAAGTGACTTGGAGTTACTCTGGAAGAATCCTCATGACAAGTAGCTGGTGAAAACACCCCTTCCCACACTCGGTACGAATCCCCAAGCCAAATCAGAAGGGAAGCTAACTGGTATTGGGAGACATAATTTTAAAACTTTCCTGTACTGACTCAAGAGCATCTAATTCCCTAAATATAATAAATACGATAATAGTGGCTTCCAATTTTAAAAAGAAATAAAACATTTTCCTTCTGCTAGCATCTGTTGCAAGCTCTTCAGAACTTAACATCTCAAATCTGCCTATCCAAAGGGAGGTTTCTTGCTCTTTCCTTGCTTCCCAAGCACTGAGGTTATTGTTATTTACGCAACGTATGAATGTGAGAGTGTAATACATCCCAGTGTAAGCGTTCAGAACAAATCAACCAGTACTAAATTAGCTAAAGTTTGTGGCTTTAGGATTGTATTGATGATGGACTTTACGTCTAACATATAGATACTATCTTACTGACTTCATAGATGGGGGAGGAGGGATTGCTTTAATGATAGGCATAAATTATGAAGGCTCCTTAAAAATAATCCATTAGTCAATTTCTGAGGGGAAAAAACAATTAAAGACAATAATATAGTATCTCTACCTATATGTATATATACACACATGTAGGCACCTGTCCACATAGACTATTCCACTTGCACACCCAATACAGCAAAGTACGTGGAATTATATACTTACCTAAATGTACAGACCTTTTCAGGAGGACCATACTGGTTCCAAATTCATTCCAAAATAATTCTAATGATTATATACACTAAAAATGCCAATTCAGAAGAAAGCATCTGTACAATAACTGGTCAGAGTGCCATGGGAATTCAGTTACAAGGACTTACCTGAACGTAGATAAGGGCAGCAGCTTTTTTAACTATCTGTGTCTTCTACATAAGGTGATCAATTCTAATACAGTATTCAGCATTCATCTGCTACTACCAAGTATTGTAAAGACATATTTGATTCTGATAGTAATAATAATAATTGCTTATAAATAACTCTCTCCTGTATTGATTAGTCACTTTCATAAGCAACCCATCTTTCCTAGTAAACAGCACAAAAGAAAGAGAATCTACTCACATTCCCTTGAGCCGTTGCCACATTTTTTCAGTGTTTCCTCCTAGATGATACTTTAGAGAGGTGCTTTCCAGTTCCCGGGTTGTTTCAGTAGCTCTAGCCCCCATGGTAGCTGTCCTACGGTAATACAGTTACAGTCAGACTCAGCAGCACGTAAAAGCATTCCTTAGTCCACTATAAATGTCAGAAGATCCACGCATGTAATACAGTAGGAGCTCTCACACATCAAACCATATCAGAATTACAAAACTGATGGAAGCTTCTGCCTGAATTGCTATTCATTTTGATAGACAAATCCATTCTTCAAACTCACTCCCCTCCCCACCAGCCTACAGCAGTACAGAGTATAAATGGCTCTTCTGACCTCACAAGTCTAATCCATGCATGTGAGCCAGTTACTATACTACTGACTGACTGACTGCTCAAGCCCTTTCCCTATGCACTTCGATTGCTGGAGGGATATGCACTAAAGCACAAAAGATTTCTTAAAATTTACTAGAATGCCCTGCCATGCAGGATAAATGTGAATGACTTTAGCAGTCCAGAAAAAAATAAATAAACACTATGCAGGTTGGAGATGCAGGCTGCAACAGGAAAGCAGATGGGAAAAGCCAATGTCAGCTTGCACCACTCTAGGAAGAGTGCCTGTTTAAATGCCAGAGCTTTTGCATCTTTAGTTGATCCTGAATTGGTCCTTAATGAATGAATGAACCAGCCTCTTAACAAAAGCATAGCTGAACAAGCATTAAGTCAGTATTTCAGAGTTGTATAAATCCCTGCAGAAGAGAAATCAGAGAGCTCTACAGGTTGTTATTGAAGGAATATGCTGTAATCATGACTATTCACCTTCTCCTAGCAACTCCACACAGTAGGTAACTGTCAATTTCAATGGTGGAAAACGCAGCAGCTGCAAGACAGCCTGTTCAATTAATCCTTTGAGACAGCAGCATTGTGTGTGTCAAAATCCAATGCTGAATTGTTTGTGCATGCCAGAAAAAAAAAATCAAATGCATGTAAAGAGCAAAAGGAATGAGGACTAGGTGGTCTGCCAGCCATACAGCAGATTGCCAGCTCTCTCTCTCTCAAGCACAGTGCCATGCGTTTAGTTGTGCAGCCAGGGCTGCTACTTGGATAGGACCGAAAGCAATTCTGCATCAGAGATGCTTACTCAGTGGCATGTTAGGGTTTGCAGAGCTTTTTCATTCACCTTCTAAATATCTCTTTTTGATCTAAGAACAGAAAAGGATCTGTACCTCTGAACAAGCAGTCAAACAATCAGAGGCACCACTGAATTATCTAAATGATGACATCAGTTTCAGCTATAGAGCATTCAGCATGTTTAAGAGCTAGAAAGTGTGTGGTTATGAGAGAGAGCTTCCATCAGAAGTGGATACTAGATGTGGGTAAAGGTGATACATGTTTGGTTTTTATATTCCTGCAGAAGAAAAAGAAAAGACAAAAAAATGCATGTTTTACTGCATCAAATTCCCCCTGCCAGTTTCCTGCACTTTCTTAGCAGTAGGGTGACCATATGTCCCAGTTTGGCCAGGGCACTCCAGGATTCCATAGCACATGCACAGGAGCAGTGATGCCTGCTCAACCACCTGCCTGGTGCACCATGTTGCTCTGCCTCACCACTAGACACCAGCCCAGGACTTTTGACCAACTGACCTTGACCAGGCTATGGAATCCTGGAGCATCCTGGCCAAACCAGGATATATGGTCACTCTACTTGTTAACAATAGAGTGCATTCCTTCCCACAAAATTATATACTTTAAAAAATATATCCCTTTTATGTCAAATAAATCTGTATTCTCTACTAGTCACTCCTTTATTCCCAATGGACTTGTATCCCGTGATTAATTGGCACATTTCATTTAATTTCACTTGTACTGCTTTTAAACCAGTATTATTCCATTAACTCCACCAGAGAGACTCCTGATTCTGACAGGTGTGAGAGAGAGGAAACTCAGGCCAATAAACTTCACTGGGGACTTAAAAAGAAAGAATCAAGATGGCCACACCTCATACACATTCTGGGGAGTCTCATGTGACAAAGGTGAAAAGTTACAAACTGTTGTTCTGGTCTTCAAGTACTGTACAAAATGATGTATTTAAAGGAGACAGTATAACCTTTAAAGATGTCCTCCTCTAGCTGAACAGCTCACTAAAGAGCTACTACTTAGAAACTCCAGTCCTGTTCTACAGAGTACCCTAGTATAGCTTGAAAGAAATGCACCTTTCCAATAAGTGAAAAATGTCTATTATTAGCATTAATACGTTTTTCCTTGTCCCTTATGCCCGACTCCAAGACACTTGAAGCAACACCAAAAAAATGTTGTATTCATAGGAATGCCTTGTATTCCAAGGTATTTTAAGCCCTATTTTTCCTCAAGATAGTCCCTTGTTCCTGCTGTACACTTCTAAGGCAGGAAACTACCCCACTGTAGCAACACAGAAACATTAAGGATGCGTGCTCCTATACAAGGAAACAAGAACATGAGAATATCAATTTGATACTCTGCAGAAAAAGAATGTTTTGCCTGGGCATCAGGTATACCAGGCTCCTCTCATGTAGGGCTACAGTTATAAATAAATAATGAACACAATACTCTTTGGATCTTGGTGACTATGATAAAAGAAGATCCTGTCCCTTAAATATGACTCATAGTAAGAGAAGGTATGTTGCCTTTTAAATTTTGAATGCTAAACAAGTTTAAAATGTACACAAAAGGAGACTCTAAAGGAAGGAAAATTTTGCAATTAAACCAGTTACAGAACTGGCCTCAGAAACAGGGTAAAGGGCTAATTTGGTTTTGACTACAGCTTTATTTTTAATAAATCCTTTGCTCCTAAAGGAAAACAAAATAAACCACTTTATTCAATTGTCCATTTGGTACATGAAGCCCAAAATTAGTCCAGAGAATTAAAATCATGAGAGACTGGAAGTGGGGCAGGGGTGTCACACTAGTGCTAGGACCCATCTTTCCAAAACTTACAATGCAAACTTCCCTGTTGGGAAAACTGCAGAAGTGCCATGAACCAATTAACGAATTTGAAAACACTGAAAATGCAGATAAATTCCTATGAATTAAATTACATCAAGTATTTAATACTTCTTTGGGGTAGTATAAATGGCTTAAATACTTCAGTATTTGGGTAGTATTTGGGGTTCAATCCTGGAAGATGCCAAGCACTCTAGCCCTGATGTAGCACAGCACTTAAGAACATGCTTAATTTTAAGCACATGAAAAGTCATTTATTGGATCAGGAATAGTGTGTTTAACACCTTATAGAATTGAGCCCTTAATGGCTATGGCTTTCTATGCTGACTTTCATAGATTAGTCGTCTCAAATGTTTACACACTGTCTCTGTCAAAAATCACACATTTTACTTTTAGTATATTTAGACAATATTATTAAGACTGTAAGGATGGTTTGGGCTGATGTAACGGGCATACAGACAAATAAGCCATATTGTCATGAGTTCTATGATTTTAATAATGGGGTATATGTTTTAAATATTAAAAAGAATCCAGTAACGTTCTTAGTTTATAAAGCCAGACGTACCGTTTTGAATACCTTGTCTGACCTCCTGCACAACAAATCTGCAACAAACCAAAAAGCTTCTTTAAAAAAAAACAAAACAAAACTGTATTTACTTGAATTGAAGAGGACCTTGATTATAAGATGACCCCCCCCCCATTAGATTTTATATATGGACATTTTTTTAAATTGTTATAATTTTTCACGTATAGAATCTAACTACTAGAGGTCTGCTTTGAATTTGTCCCCCTGCCACTGCTACAACAGGAAAAATAAATCTGGGTAGACAGGTAACCCCTTTGCTCTCTGCTGCCCTCCAACTTTTTACCCCAGCACCCCCTGACCAGCTCCTTACTGTCAGACCCTGCTCTCCCTAGTCTATTGCACAGTAAAGTGTCACTGTCTACACATGCACAGCAGATTCATTTAAAGTGCCATGTGCTAGTACCCACATATATAGGTACTGGGGCCTGCACCATGGCCAGCAGGAGCACAAGGTGCTGGTTATTGCTGTCAGGGATCAGGCTGGAGCAGTGGGGTGCTGGGTGTTGCTGGCAGGGGTAGGGTCTGGAACATCCCTGGTGCACGGAGGCAGGAAGGGAGCTGCTTCATGCTGCCTCTGCACTGGGCACGCGGCTCCTCTGCAAGGAAGGGGCTGGCCAGGGATCAGAGTTTCCCAGATGGCTGCCAAGTGCTGTCAGATGGCTCTGGCTTCAACATGATTGCCAAGTCCTTGCAGCCATGTGGCCAGTGGCTGGAGCTCCCCCCAGTGGTCACATGGGAACATGGCAGGGCTTCAGGGACTTGGGACTAACTTTAGTCCCAAGTTCCTGCACATGTAGACACCTGCCAAAAATTGCTTAATGTGCATTAGTTTAATGAGCTTTAAATTTAGTCATGCTTAAATGCATGTGTAGATGCACCTCATATGTCCTAATGCCCTGTGCACTGCTCTAGAGTTGTTAAAGACTTTGCATTCCCTGCGCACCAAAATAATATAGAGAGCCCTTTGAGTAAACAAGAATCGGATCCTGTGTGACAGATTCTAGCATATCGATGGCAAAGATTTCCAATATGAAATGCCACTTGCCTAGTGATTATCTCCTAATATGTCCATTTGTTCCCATTTTCATCCTATTTCCAAAGTTTCTATAAACTTCCATGGGTTGGAGTCCCAGATTTAGCTCTCATGGATGTACTGTGCTTGACAACAGTAGGAGGTATGCAGGTCAAATCTGTGAGTATTCATTAACATTGCTAAATGCAGAGAAATGTGGTGCCAAGTAAATATTGTTTACTTGGAGCATTGAGAAGAAATCTGAAAATATATTGTCATTTTATTTTGTCCATGTATATATGTGCACATTATAGAGTAATATAGAATTAATTTTTTAAATAGGCAAAACATCAAAATGAAAGCCACAACAGACCCAACTAAGCAGATGGACAGGACAGCCCAGAGGCAGGACTAGCCTACATATTTACTGAAATTCAACATTATTTGATACCAAAAATTAAATATCTAGTTTTTCTCTTAGGTTAATCAAACAGAGGAAGGGGCATTGCTCAT